TATATATTTTTTTTGATTGATGCAACTAATTTTCCTTTATTTTGGCCATTAATGGGTTAACATTTTCGACTTTGGTTCATTTCCGGTTGAAACGAAATAGATTTTCAATTGTGTTTTCCTTATAAATATTGAAACTATACCTTCGTTCCGAATTTCAAATGTCTTACCACATAATCAACTGAATGACGCCCTGTACAATGATTTCATGGCTGCATGGCGAAACATATTAATATTTTAAGTTTGGACTTGTCTTGTGCTGCAGTTGATTATCAGAAATTAATCTCTGAGATTTATCCTAACTAACATACATTCTAATTGAGTTCAAAACAATTTTTTGCAGCAACGGCCGACTGTAATATTTACGCAATTGATTGCGTTAATAACAAATGTACTCCACTGTTTCATGTTGCCGATGATTACGTAGCTGCTATATGCGCTCATGATGAATTGTAAGTCAATTTTTCAATTTCAAAAATTAAACTAAGCTATCTTGGTGCCCTCAGAATTGACAATTATCGATACTTCTTCCCGTGTTTTTTTCACTGATAATGCTTGAAATGGATGAATCCCACACGAAAAACTATATAGAGAATTAAACCACATGATTCGTTTCCAGTTGAGAAGAATTCTTCAACATATCATGTGGTCAAGTTACACTAATTTTAACAAGAAAGCGTTCGACTTTGTTTCATGAGTCGAAGGCCCAATATTTTTGAAACTCCAAGTGGAAAATACAGATCATCTTAAATTAAAGGCTGAAAGAGAATATGATCTAGTATAAGGGTATAAGGAAGTATATTTGCTGAAATTTTAGGAAAGAAATTATAAGTAGTATCAGATTTTCTATCGAAGAACTTTCTCCTAGATGTTGAATTTTCATAATCTTCGTACATTAAAAGGGCGAAAGGAAATAAATTCATATCAGTTTTTTTATCGAAGTACTTTCTCGTAGATATGGGATCATGGTTTATCTAAACAGTTGTTCTCTGTATCTGTAGAGTAGGGAGGGTGAGTGTAGACCTAGAGCACTCAGGCCACATGTGACCCATTGTACATCCTCCCGAGGAGTTGTCCTCCTAGGTCATCGTCCATCCTGTCTTTCCAGGAAGGTGGATAGGTCACTAGGAGAAATCTCCTTTTATTGGCAGGTGTAGGCCAAGACTCGCCGAACACACACTCTCTTTAGCAACCTTGAGGTATGTTTCACGGTGGCCTTCGCGAAGGTTTTGGAAGGTGCAGCGACATTACTGACGTTACGTGGCTTCTTCAACCTTCTTGGGGTTCCCTCCGTGGAGGTGCACAAGTTAGGGAGGTTTCCTGCAGGGGCAGCTGGTTCCTTGCCTTTATTCAAGGCGGAGCTCTTGGCGCCCACCTCAGGAAGTGCCCTTGCTGTTGGAGGTGATCTGCTCTGACCCCAGCCACCGCCTTAGATTAAGGTGAGCACTTCTGTTCAGCCTCGGAATTGATTTTTGTTTTTGTTGTTTCTGTTTTTGTGTTTGTTTCATTCATGTGTGCAAGGGAAGAGTTGGTCACCTCTTGGCGAGCCCTGCATTACTAGAGGTAGGCTGATTACAATGAGGTTTCGCCCAGTTCCCCAAGGGGATTGTTCGTAACCGCATATCACCCTGCGGCCATTCAGCTGTCGGCACGATTCCGTACACCTTAGCATGGGTAGGCTGGTCCACGGTGACATGTTTTGCAAAGGCTTTTGGGGAGTTTCAGTTGCAATGGATCATGTTCATTATAGTTCTTGGAGATAGCAGTGAGTATACATCTCTCCAGTATTTGAGGTTATATATAGGTCCTTTTTGGGTTTTTTATCAGCCAACTGCGTATTTTCTCAAATTATTCTCATATTGAAAGTTGAACAAACATCATAATTTATAAATCATTTCATTTTATTGAATCAAGAAAATTATCACCAGTCTAGCCTTAGTTTGTTCCACTACAGGATCATTACATCGAACATTGATCATCTCAGAATTTTCCAAACCAGTTGAAAGAATGTTTTAATTATTTGATATAGGTAAGTGTGACCCTGATCGCTTACCGAATGATCATTATATTCATATATTACGACTCTGGATACTACTATAGAAAATGATAGATAAGGACGCACGTTCCATCTGCTTAGAACTGATAGCGAATACATATAAACGACTTAACCATAAAACTGGGAAAATAAAAGTGAATTTATTGTTTTAGTCGAGTAATGTGTACAAGGATCAGAATTTGTATTCTTGTATTACTGCAAAAAGTTGTTTATTTATAAGTGTGTCACACAATCTGAAATAACCTTTAGGCGTAATATAATTTTACTCAGCACTCGGTTCTAAGTTTGATATTTTTTGTGCTCTTTTGATTCTACTATAACAATGAACGGTCCGTGTCCTTGAAAATCTTTAGATATTCTACGTTCATTATAATTTGTTCATTCAGTTTGCTATATACTCAATTTCTATATATTCAATTTCCGTTCATTTCGTAAAATGATAAGGATATCACCGATAGGAAAAAACAGATTTTCCAATATTCAGCACTGAACTTTTCATTACAGGAATTATATTGTTATTGCTTATGCAAACGGTCGAATTACGTTAATAGATTACGAGAAGCATGAACCTGTACGTTCCACGATACTTCCTGTATCGGAAGATGAAGATGGTGGTAAAGTTTCAATTTCCTGCATCAAGTACAGTATTGAATGTAAGCATTTCTTCCAATCGATATTAACAATAGTTATTGTGAGAACTTTTTTCCAAATGATTTAATCTCCAGCAATTCAAATCCAACATGAATCGCTACTTTCGCACAGGCACCGCTCTTAGAGTGCCTTCAGGATTTTCCTGTAGTGCTTGTGTTTTGTCTTGGAAAACAGAATAACAATACTGCCCTTGTGAACATTGATTTGACAAGAAACGGTTTGGTATTTCAGCAGCTTGTAAATTCGAACCATTACTGAAAATTCGATCCAGCATCTTTTCGTTAAAACGACTTGTATTCTTTTCACTGTGTATGAAAATGTTTCCGTTTAGAATCCATGAAAAATATATACGTTCGCCTATATTCATGTGATTTGAAATACGAGTATACGTAAAGGTTTTACTACAGATCTCATATTACGTTAGGTATCAGTACATCGTTTTCTGTATTTATTTTTGGTTTTCTAAAACTTCTGTTGAGTATTTGAATCTGTTTCAGAGCTTCATCATAATACAATATTCAGTTTTCATGTTCTAACAACTGGGAGGTTATTTTTCTAAACAAGCTGGGAAATGTGTAAGCTTGCCAAAAATCTGAACGAGATTTTTGGTCTGACACCAAGATCGATCCTAAATACCTAATTCATAAAGTGATTCATCAAAATGTTTGGATTATCTAAATAGTACTTTTCCTTAACTTTTAGAATGGCTGAACACATCATTTCTCGACCAGATCATCTGCTATTCCGAAGAAAACAAAAGTTTATGTCTATCAATTTCATTTTTCAGTTATTCTTGCTCTTAGAATACTATTTATTTTTTCTGTGATCAACTTTGTTCGCTGGTCTTGAATATCATCTACTATTCACATGGGGGAATATTTATGTAGGAATATATAACCCTGTAATTATATTCACATGATGTCGAAAATTACCCCCCAGTAAATGAAATATCTGGTAAAGACTACTGATTATCACAGAAGGAACTACTTCAGATAGTCGACTGCAACATATTCTTCATAAATACCAATAACATTTCGAATAGAATCTTTAGATGGAAATTAGTGACTACTAACTAATAGGATCATCATAAATTGATTCAAGTTTCGAATATAATTTTCAGCATTTCACCTAGTCTGCGGCAGAACAAATGGTGAAATTTGGATTTTGGAGCCGGTCCTACTAACTCCAAAAATATCAGAACCCTTTCAGATCACAAAAAACAAGGTGGTGAAGATTGAATTTTCGCACATTCCAATACAATTTGCCTACTATGATGATAATAAAACGGTAGTAATTTTTTCATATAATTCTGCAACAAGCGTTTGGGTATGTCTAGGAAAGCTTAGATCCCATTACGATGACATTACTGATATCATGTTCGTACCAGGGAATCCGTATTCAAAGCTGTACACTATTTCCAAGGATCGCCATCTCGTTGAATATAATAGCAGCAAAATTCAGTAATTATTATTTAATAACTGTTTACTGTGAAAAAAAGGTCTTTGCTACTCTCCATGAAAATATTCCCCGTCAAAATACCCCCAACTTCGCTAATGAAAGTGTCTTTAGTTCCTAAAAAAATATACCAACTTGTCATTTTGGTTATGAATAGGATATACTCAATGAGAATATTGAAATTTCGTGTTATTTTGGATAATTTTACCTAGTAATTTTTCGTAACAAGACAGAATGTCATTTTGTTGATGACTCTGTCTCCTATATCTGCCACCCATATGCTTAATACACCATGACCGATTTTAACGATTAGCTCATCTATTTTTAATCAACATGTCACTACATTTTTTATCAGAGTTATATTAACGAGAAACAGATATTTTACAAATCATAGTTTTATTTATTTACGTTCACTTACTCAAAATTTTTTTCAGAATGAACTATAACGCCTAAATTTTTTATTGAATAGAGGAGTCCAAAAGATGTTCAGAATGGCGACCATTTTCTGCAACACATAATGTCAGTCTTTTTTAAACGAATTCTCTACACATTCAAGCATGTTATCTGGGATTTCCAGAAAGCTCTAGTGATTCTTCGTTTCATGGTTTCTATAGATGTTGGAGGAGTTTAGTAGACAATCCATTTGATATACCTCTATAAAAAATCCATTTTGGTCAGGTCAGTCGATCTGGGTTGCCACGCCACAGGCCCACCCCTACCTATCCATTTTTTTGAAATGATCGTTGAGGTATTCCCGTACCTCAGTTTTAAAATGTGGTGGTGTACCGTCTTGTTGTAGCCAAATTCTAAGTATTGCTCCATATGGAACCCCGTCCAATAAATTCGAAAACTCATGCCAAAGAGATCTTACATAATTTCTTCCAGTGAGATGCTCATCCAAAAAATACGACCCTATAACTCTTTTTCTGAGAATTCCACCCCAAACATTCAGTGACCAAAACTATTGATGATTCAGGAAACAAACAAAATGGGGATTTTCCGTTGCATAATATTGCATGTTATGCCGATTCACAGTTCCATTTTTATGAAAAGTTGCTTCATCAGAAAATAACACGAAATCGAAAAAATAATTTTTCTGATTGATCTTTTCTAAGCCCCATCGGCAAAATTGAACAAATTTTTCAAAATTCCTTCCTCTTAACTCTTGCAACAATTGCATGTGGTATGGATGAACTTTGCTTGGTCGTATCATTTGAGACACGCTGGTTTGAGAAACTCCTAATTCCCTGCTCAGGTCTCGGGTACTCACATGGGGATTTTCAACAAGGTGAAGAGCAATTTAAAATGTATAATCTTCATTTGTTACAGGGCAGACACGTTCGAACTTCGCGTGATTGACTTTACCAGTTCTTCCAAATCTTGTTTTTAGAGCCTGAAATGCCCTTTCATCTGGTTCTCTTCTTTTGGGGAACTTCCCTTTGTAAATCCTTAAACAGAAACATAATTCATAATGAAAATGATTCAATCTACACGCGAAAAAAACTTCAACATATTCCGAGATTCATTTTTTTATGTCAGTCATGAATAATTAGAGATTAAACGACTTACCTAAGGAAGTTCAATTCTCAATTATAGGAGATAGCCACGTCCGTAGTTGTTCGCGTCAGCCCGATCCTGTGCGTAATGTTTAAAGTCGTGCAAAAACGTATCAGTACCACCCATTGTCTGCTATTCGGGGTCTGTTTTGATTCATTATAGTTTTTTGGTTACCCTTAGATAGGTACATATAGGGGTTAATAATTAAATATTCGAGGAGGGTGGGTTGTGATCTCTTCGGACGTGTAAAAGCATTCAGGAATATTTCAAATATCATTCAATTTCAAATAGTTTGAATGTAGATTGGTTAAAAAAGCACTCATATTTTGTTATCTAGTGAAGAAATTTTGAAAAATATAAATTTTTTACCAATTACAATTTCTAGTGGGGTACGCGCTTTTTCACTTCCCCAGTCCATGATTTTTTCCTGTTTTAAGTTAGAAACTACATATTTCAAAAATTTAAAAAAAATGTCAGTTCAATGATGTTCGATAACATATTTTGAAGTAGAACGTTTCCTTGCGATTGAAACTGTATAGTTATGAATTTGCTCATCTGTGACTGGCCTTGAAGGGGAACAGGAAACGGTCACAATTGATTCATTTCTCAATAGTCTCAGCACACATGGCCTCTGCAGACCGATTTTCATGTCTATTGAACCTGATAATATAGACACAGCAATGTATACAACATGAATGGCTACTTT